TAGACTTCATTCACAAGCAAATCTGCCGATATCACAATACTCGACTATTAGAAATTCCTCGAGCTTTTTCACGAAATTGACTACAAATTAATAATGAAATCGAATCATCTTTTATATTATCATGTAATATGTATTTTCGTATAAAAATAAATTTTATTAAAAGTTTTAAAAGTTTTTATTAAAAGTTATAAATGTATCAATTCATAAATTATTTAATTTTCATAAAATCAATTAATGAGCTCATTAATTAATTAAAATCAATTTTATTCTATTTATAATTAGCTCAACTCGCAACATCTATAATTAAATATAATTCTTGACATCATATATTTCTCTGAAAACATCTTATTAAATCTTTTTCTTTCATCAATCTCTTCTTTATTAATATTTTACGAAAATGTTCCATTGGATCAATGGATGAGATGTCGAAGATAAAGAAGAATCGTTCTCACTCTGTGATTAATTTCGTCTGGTTGTAGTCGGAGCAATTAACGCGTCATATTTCAATCGTATCGGAACGATTGAAACGGAAATTTCAATTGCTTGTGTACTTTATTAATTTTTTCTGAATTATCGCTCCCTCGCGACAGTCGCGAATAGTAGATCGATACTGCACCTCGCTTGGATATGTAATAGAATGAATTATTCCTTCTCGTCAAATAAGCCGCAGCTGTACTTTCTATAAATAACTGTTCCGCGATTCCTCCACGTGGTTCCACCATAAGATATTTACAAACTTCTTCTCGCACAGATCGCAAACATTGATTATATATATATAAACGGACTGAGTGTACATTATTTATTTTTTATCGTTGTATACGCAACAGAATGCATAATTTAATGTATAATTAAAATTCTCTTAATTTTAAACACGTCATAAATCAAATTTCCATTATAAAACAGATTCCAAAAGAAGTATGCTTTTCAATCATTTACTCTCCATTAAAGACTTATGTCTACATAGATTAACTTCAATCTCGATTTAACTTATTTTTTTATCTTTTTCTAATTCTAAGAACTAGAAAAAAATTAAATTCAGATTATATATGTTCATCTATATTGATAGAAATGAACATTAATCCGTGAATACACTTCAATCTTCATTATCTTTCATATTACACAAATCTTATATATTTATTATAAGTATTTTCACGAATTTATTACGAATTTTATGCTGTCAAAATCTTATAGAGGCAAACAGAAAAACGAGCAGCCCGATATATCTCGCACAAAAATATTTCGTACAAGATGAGTCTCGGGAAAAGAACTGATATCGGATCGGTGGAATCTCTCAGCGTGTGGAGTACAGTAGGAGTAGTAAAAACTACCAATAATATCCGATAGCCAATGTAAATAAAGCTCCCAAATAACACCACATGAGCGTTGCTAATGCAAGGAGTGTGCAATATAGCCGGTCCAATTTATCAGTGATATCGACAAACTGTCGGGATTTACCTCAGCGATAATAGGGATCGAGTACAACCTAACGCGTTACACATCGACGTACGTCGCCGTCGCGTCGCCGCCGCGACGGATTTAGGCGCGTCGATAAATAACGTCGCCAGGTGCGCGAGCACGCCGAAAAGCTCGCTCGTTCGCGCGAATGAATCTTCCATGTCGCCGGCCACGGCCCGTAAATTAAGGTCAGAGCCAAGAGCGATATAAGCAGCAACCACTAGAGAGAGAGAGAGAGAGAGAGATTGGAGGGAGAGATGCGAATAGATATGCAAATCATGTACACACTCGGCTGTTTACGTCTGTCGATCTACTGTCAAAGCAACACGCCGCCAATATAACGTGAACTCTTCGGCAGAGTGCGAGTTCGACTGGTAGACAAACTGCGATTGTGCAAGTTTCGATAAAAAGCTTTTACTTTACTTCCTGTCTCATAATCCGAATTAATCTAATCAAGTAATATCTGGTATTAAAAGACATGATGATAGTATCATTTTGTGATACTACTAGTTTTAAAAAGAATCGTTAAATGAAACAAACAGAAGTGTGTCGACAGATAATACCGTTCATGATTATGAGTTAGATTAGACTTCAATAATACCATAGATTAAAAGACTAATTCGAGGATATTCAACGTTAAAAGCTGAAGACAGCATGTGATAAATGTTTCAAAAGGAAAAGTCACACAATAATGAAATTTATCAAGATAAAAGATGATACAGGGGTAGGAGGGGAGGGGGGGATTAGGACACTCTATATCGTAAATGGAGAAGATAATTTGTTTACCAATTCAATGAATTTAATGACTTTTATACTTATTGATTAAATATTAATTTATCTTGGATTTGTATAAGAAAAAGAATAATATATATACTCTAAATCTGTAGCAATGAAAAATTTTACTGCTAACAAAAGTGGATAGCAAAGTCATTGCTTTAAGTATGGATTTTCACTGCTTTGAAGTTAGTCTGTCTACTCTTACATAAAGGAGTGGACTATTTCATTCGATTAATCGAAGTGGTTTGAGCATTAGTTGATAATGCATTGAATGTTACTGCAAGAAGTGAATTTAGCGCATCGTTTGTTACATGTTTATCGTTTGTCATGATGGTTACGGACGAGACGCATCTGAGACACATATAAATATAAGAGACAGAATAAAATAATTAAAAATAAAATAATAATAATTAAAAATAAGGTTGATAAGTTAGACTGATAGTATGCTCTGTTCAAAATCTGTCTACGTAGACTTTGTTGGATTTGGAATGGCATTATTCTATCATTATTTTAACCTCCAAATTCACTATTTTTTGGAGTAAATTTTTCACTCTAATTATCGAATGGATTTTCCATTCCCATCTTGCAGTAAAATTCAACAATAACATTGATGCAATTGCCAATACTTGTATTGAAATTTCAATTTAATGCAATGAAATTTCATTGCTACAGATTTAGTGTATATAAACTTATATCATTAATCAGAATTTTTTATCGAGAGAAATGGCATGAATAATCATTTATTTTGTTGATATATAACTTAAAAAAATCTTCTTACTTTTTAATTAAAAAAATTTTGTTCTATTCAAAATTTAGAATAATTTGTAGAATAATTAATGCACATATCAATAAAATAAATGATTATTCATAAATAAAATAAGTGGTTATTCTAATTTCTTTCAGTCTAAGTACTTTTATATATTTAAACGAAAAAACGATTTTGATGAAGTACCTAAAAATTTAATTACATAGATACAGAAAACAAGTTTGTTGGATCATTAAACAATTATTTGTAATGCTTAAACGTTGATAACAATACTGCAAGAAGTTTTAATATTCTGGCAACCAGTTTGAGCATCCTACATAATTATTTGATCCAACAAAATTATTTTCGGACCTGTATCTAGATAAATTTTTAAATAAACTTCAGCAAAATCGTTTTTTTCGTGTAGTATATTTTTACGCGATTGACATTACTTCCTTTCTATTAATCCTACATTCAGACAAAACAATCTACAAGAAAGATAATGTATTTCAATGTATATATATATACTTTGCAACAATGCTCACATTTTAAATGCAATTACATTGCAGTTTCCCTTTAATACTTGGAATCCGGTCTGCGTGAAACTTTAATCCGCAGACTCTTTAATATGGATATAGTAATTAAAAATATTTACCCTGATAATCCTAGGTTTCATCTTAATAATTAATGATAAATCGAAAAACAATGTAGCAATATTCCTTTAATCGGTTTAACAATAATGGTAAATGTAGCGTAATTATAATCGCAACGATGAGACTAATTTTCTGAAACTAGGTAACAACGTCATAATAGAGCGATAATAACTATTGATAGTAATGATAATGATGACGGTAATTAAACGGCAGCGGATAAATAATATTAGTTAATAATCGCGCTATTATTTCAAAGTTCACTGGATTCTTTTGCCGAGCTCCCAGTAAGTGCCTCGACATAATGATCGTGAATGACGATGACGATGTCGTCGACGACGGAAAAGATTGGCAGTAACGTGCATATTGCGGCCATACACTTCAAAATAATATACAGAAAAAATGATTTTGTTAAAGTATCTAAAAATTTAACTATATATGACTTCGAAAATAATTTGTTGAACTATATAATTATCAAAATAATTATATATACTCGAGCTTGTTAGATTATCAAAAGTTTTTACAGTTTCATTATTCTTGAGATTTCTACTAATTATTTTGATGACCCAATAATTATGCAAAAATTTCAAGCTAGATAATCAACGCTGTAAGTTTTGGCATTCTAGCAATAAATTGAACCCACATAATTATTTTTATGATCGAACAAAATTATCAGATCTATAACTAGACTAAATTTTTAGATATTTTTGAGTTCCTTTCTATTCTATTCCGTTCTTTTCATTTACACGTTGTCAAGGGTTTTCCATGAACACAGCAATTGGTCGACACCTTTTTGAGGATTTTAAACAACGCGAACAGACCTTTAGTCTGCCGTGTGTTATTGACCTAACCTGTGCAATATACAATCCAGGAATTCTCCAGATCAGTCGCTGCTCCGAGAACTCCACTTCTCCGGCGAAGCTGTTTTGGAGCAGGATGTTCTCCGTGAAAAAAAAGCTTGTTCTCATTAAAAAAAAAAGAGAGGGGAGAAACGGAGCACTCACATATACCGATATATATCCGATAAAAAGCGCGCGATATTGTGGGTGGAAATGTAAATTCAGGAACGCGTAAAAAGCAGGAACGACGGCAACAAACCGGCGGCGAAAAACAAGACGACGCGACGTTTCTTTCCCGGTGCTCTCTTCGCCTGGTCGAATTAGAGGTTAACCTGTCACTCGATAGCGAATCGATTTTACGGCGGAAGGGAGAACGAGAGACGGAGACGGACCGCGTTCGACCGCGCGGCAGCAATATTATGTAATTTCTGGCACTCACCTGAGTTCGCAAAGCCGTGCGGATGTTCCGCGGTGTTCCGCGAGTGACTGCGGCTCTCGATGCGGGCGTCCCGTCCGTCTGTCCGTAGAAGACGGAGATAGCAGAGGTGGAGAGACAGTGATTACAGAGAGAGAGAAAGAGAGCGAGGGAGAGACGAAGTCACATACACACGTACGCACGCCGTGGTAGCCGCCGATGAGATTCGGCGATGACGGTGGAGGCGGCGGTGGCTGTACACTCCGCGTTTCGCGTGAGATAAGAAAGAGAGAGAGAGAGAGAGAGAGAAAGAGAGAGAAAGAGAGAGAAAAAGAGAAAGGGAGAGACAACGTCAAACTTTATCACGAAAGCAGCATGACGCGCGACGGGGATGCAAGCATCGTGCAACGACGGGTGAGAGAAACGACAACGGGGACGGGAACGGGGATGGAGATGACGACGGGAACGACGACGACGACGACGACGATGACGACGACGACGACGACGACGACGACGACGACGACGACGACGACGACGACAACGGGTACACACGCGCGACACCACCGACACTCGATGACGTCATACCACCGGCGGCAACATGGAGCCCACCGACGTACGTAGGCGTGAACACGAACACTACAACGCGAGCCACGCACAACGATCACGACGGCAGTCCACCGTTCGCTATTAGCCGGAGGAACTGTGCTCGTGCGCCGCCTAACCTCAAAAACGTTTGCGCCGGAGTAGCCGTAAAAGAGAGTGTGAGAGAACGTATACAGTGCCAGCCGCGGCAGCGGACGCACCCCGTGCGCAGCGGCGACGAGACACGGACCCGAACTGAGACGAAGTCCTGGCCGAGCCGCGCCGAATCGACCCGAACGCCACTGAACGTCGCGCGCTCCCGTTGCCCCAACAGCCCGAACTCCGAACCGAAGTGACTTGAAGTTGCCTCAAAGTGGCCGAACGTCGAACGTCACCCCCGCCGCCCGTTCGCGCGCGTTCGGCCGTTTTCGTTTCGGCTGGTGTACACTCGGCTAACTGCGGAGTAGTGCGGAGTGCGGAGAATCATTCCGGCGGCGTGTATGATGTGATGTGGACGTGATTACGTGTAGCGATCGATCGTGCGGTGTCATTCTAACCTCTTCGCAGGAGCGTACGAATTGTCGACCGAAAGTCTCGTTTAATTGCTCTATCGTATGTAAATGAGAATTTCTCGATCGTGACGCGGCATACGAGTTTTGAACGGATGCATTTTCACACGATCTCGTTTAATCATGATTAACTTCACTCGTGACTAACTTCATTCGTTCACTTCGAGACGATTTGAAAAGTGAATCTTTTGCCCGGTATCATCACGAGTTTCCGATGATTGTTCGTATATACTCGGTTTCTCGTCGACATTAGGAAAGATTAAACGCCGCTTACACGATTAGGTACGGGAAATGATATGCGAAAATTTGATTCTATGAATGACGAAGTAACTTTGCTCTTTAAATATAGATCGGAGTGCGCGAACTTCAAGGTCATCGTGGTTTTTTAGTACTTGATGCTCTTGCGAGTCTTACGTACAGTCACTAGTCAATTTATTCAGTAACTTATCTCAGTAGAACAAAATCGTAATAAAATCTAGATAATGTCAAGTTGAATTACGTCAGGAAAATCTAATGGACATCATTATTCAATACAAAATTTTAACAAGGACACTTGAATGAATCAGATAAATTATAATGAATGACATATTTATGATAATTTATTTGGTTCATTTAAGTCCTTGTTAGAACTTTTGTATGTTTAACATATTCGACAACATTAATTTAACATTATGTTATTTTTATGTTTTATTAAATAATTAAATTGATATTCAACATTTATTATATGTCAAAATAACACAATTTATGAATAAGTGAACTAATATAAACAAAAATAATGTGTTTTAAAACGTAAATTCAAAAATGAATGAATAAATACGTGTTAATTCAACATATTATAAAGTATAATTTTACTGAAAAAAATGTGTTTGCTTACATACAGTTTTACATTTTTTGCATTAATTTTTTTTACATTTGCGTTACTTGCTAACATATTCATCTTATTAATTTAATACAAAGATTTGAATGGACCGTTTGAGGAACGTGAAATATTTAATAAAGTATATTTAATTTAACAAATTTTCCAACTTTTATGCCCAATTTTTTCACTTCTAGATAAGTTGCGGATAACTTTATCCAGGACATATCTCTATTGTATTCTGGGAGATATCTCTTGGATAAAATTATCTAGAGATGAAGAAATTGGGCGTTAGTATATTTTTGACGATGACTTTGTAATGAATTGATATATTTATTATTTTTTAATAATTTTTAATATTTAATAATTTTTAATTAAAACATCACTTAAAAAGCATTATCAAGAATTCATCACAAAATTATCGTCAAAAGTGTATCGAGTAACACCATAATTTTTCCTAAATTACTTCTATTTGATATAATCTATGTTTTATATTCTTTTATATGAAAAGTTCATAGCATGTATTCTTCAATTCAAAATATATTTTTTTACGTTGCATTAAATTATCGCATAAAAATAAAATTTTTTCAGAGTTCCTCCAGCCGATCAAGATGACGCCGTCACTTTACGTCTCGCGAATAAATCAGATCGATGCTGCTCAATTGGACGGTGAAATTTATAAGATGCTAAGGAATCAAACCAAAGAGATCGCTAAATACTGCACGCCCGGTAAAATCGACAAATGGCAAGCGGAAGTGGACGCCGTTCTGAAATTTCTCATCTGGAAATTCTCATTACAACGAGGCTCTTCTACTTTCGGCCAGCGGCTTCTCAATCTGCACTATGCCAACATCAATCAAAGGAAAGCTATACTTTACTTAATCCTAAATGTCGTACCTCAGTACTTGAAAGATAAATTGGCCTACGAGAACCTGTCCGAACGTGGTGCGTTCGCTCGAGCGCTAAAGTCGCTCGTCGATTGGATGACGAACGCGATCAATCTCCTGGAGTTCGTCAATCTACTCCTCTTTCTCCATCGGGGTATAAAACCGCACGTGATAGAACTTCTGCTTGATTTATCCAGTCAGTCGATAACGACACATCGACCCAGAATCATCGGTTACTCGTACATGACAAGAGAATTGCTTTGGCATGGTCTGATGGAGCTCTTCACAATCGGTATACCTATGATAAATCTCCACTACTTGAAGCACGTAATGACGAGACTGTGGCGACAACCGAAACCATCGATTGAGTTGTTGCCAGTGATGAATGCCGCAACCAAGTGCGCTTACTGCTATGAAGATCCGATTCTGCCATCGCATGCCGGCTGCGAACACTTGTTCTGTTATTACTGCCTGCAAGCGCACTTTACCGCAATGAGCAAATTCCAATGTCCCAAATGCAACGCGGAACTTCATGCCGAAGATATGAAAAGATATACAATCGCGAGCGCGTCTTGGAGCGACGATGAGGAATCAGACGATAGCTTCGAGAGAGTGGACGATGGATAACGCGAACGTATGTATATTTCCAGTTTTATCAAAATTAAAAGTGATTCGATGTTCGAAGTGATGTTATTGTGATGAACGAGTTATATGTCTGGACTTTCAGTCTTAAGCACTGTTTTTACAAGTGAAAATGATTTTTATTATTATGTGATAACTTGTTGATTTTTTTTCCACAAAGAGAAAGATTTCCTGCAACGACCAAAGTAATTAAATAAAATAATAGTGATTCGTTGCAACACACAGCGAATAGAATAAGTACAAAGATCATTTTATTATATTTATCGAAGTTAAATCATACGATTTTCTAAAAACAATTTTATTATTATGTTAATTATAAATCTCTTAAAAATAAATAATTTAATTATTATATTGGAATTAATTAAATCTCATTGAAACATATAAAATATAAATAGAAAAAAATTCGCCACAATCGATTTATGAGATACGAAGAGGTGTATGTGTGTGATATTAATATTTAGTTTTTATTAAAAATAGCAATATACAAAATCTTCTTTATTCCTCATTTCAATACAACAAATCCCAATTTCGGGCGACTTCGACATTCTCGTTTTTTTCTTTTTCCGAAACAAACATTAATAGATCAATATATCCTCTCTTGGCTCTTATATCAAAATTAGATTAGATTATATCATATAAAAATATTATGCTGCGCTGTATATTATAAAACGCTTCATCTGCCGCCACGCAGGTCGATGGACCGATTGTTTACATGCAATAATGACACATTCATCGATTAATTAATTTATCATTAAGTTGATGCACCTGCGCTCGATGGGCGGGCACGTCCCCGGATTTATTACACAAGAAACTATATTATAAACACTATAGCACAGAAAGAAAAAAAAAACGCGAAACACATACACATAAATTAACACTTTCCATTCGCCTCTCCTACGACACTACAAATTTCATTTGAATCCGAACTCTCATTATTTTTCCTTGGAATGTATGATTTATAGTACAATTATATATAGCGCGGTTTCTTTTTCATCATTTTGTAAGAAATCCCTTCTCGAAAGATTGAGCTGTTATTCCTGAGGTATCCCCGCGTTTACACATTTGCGCCTCACTCTAACATTAATCTTACTTCGCGACGGAAACGGAGTTCACCCGAAAAATAATAAGGTGAGAAACGCATTTAAATTACAATTGCTATTCTATATTTTGCATTCTATTTGTGTTCCATCTTCCGCCTTTTCCACATTGTGTGTGCATCGCGCGCACATTCTTTTTAAAATTAATTTAAATTTCGAACTTGGAAACATCTACTTTATTCTTAAAGTTGCCGTTATTTATCGTTTTTATGTTCTTTCCTCGGGCGAACTCCTCGATTATTTTCCGTATTTTATTCCTTTAGTGACAATCCTAAAGTATCCTAAGAGAGTGTCTCTTCTGTACCGAGAGGTTTGCGATTTTGCGTTGGCATCGCTAAAGCGAAAAAATATAATTTCCTGATATTTTGAGTGTGAAAGAGAGAACGCAATAGTGCGATGTATTTATACTTATTGATACATAATAGAAACGATATGCGCATGGTGCCATTATATAGCTACTGAATTAAGATGATATCACGTCTTAAACAAGGTTTTTTTTTTCATCTTTTTAAACACTTGAGGAAATTAATAAAGCTGAGGAAAAATTCAATCGATATTATAATCAGTTGGAATAAAACTAAAATCTAATTTCAAGAAATTGAATTAACTGATTTAATTTTAATTTGAGATATAGAATGGAATTAAATGAGATGTAGCATTTAAATTTAAATTTCCGCAACTTGAGGTTAATTTTCTGAAGTTTTTAAAAAAATGGATTACATTCGCTAAACCCTCTCTAGAAGAATGCCTTCGATTTTATAAGTAATCGCAAATTTATCGTTAAGACGAAAAAAATCGTTATGCAACGATACGATCTGTGGACTTTAAATTTTCTCGAGATTCTTCTCAGAAGTCTTACTTTTTTCTTTTTTTTTTAAATCCATCTATAATTTTTCACGGAAATTTAAAAATCAAGAAAATTAAAGTCACTAAAGACATTAGAAACTAAAATGGATTAATCTATAATTTGCATAATTCTTAAATACTGAGCCGTATTTGAAGTTAATCCTACAAATTATAAGCTTAATCCATTTTAACGATTTATATAAATCGTTTTAAACTATCTAAAGCTGAATAAGATAGATAGGAAAGAATGAGTCCACAGTTTGCTATAATGAAATAATATTAATGATTCGTAATATTTTCTCTGCTTCATTTCTGACGCAGTTAGAAAATATACCTGCGATATGCAATTTTGAAGATTTACGGCGCATTCTCGTAAACGCAACGGACTCCAAGTCGCGTAAGTTTCGCAAGCGAAGTCGAGCGTAATTGATTATACGCAATGCCTGATTCTAGGCTGGTCTTATCTTCATTTTTCTTTTCTTTTTCAAGAGAAAAGGAGAGAGAAGTAGAATGTCATGTTATTTGCTGAATGCAAAAAATGTCAAGTGAGTAGGGACTAGAGAAAAGTGATAGTGAAAAACTGATTTTACAGTTTGAAGGTGTATATATATATATATCTTCTCTCTTCCCGATGTAAATCGATTCTTGTTAACCGAAACGCTCGAGAACGCTAATTAGAAACTCTATGTTTGTCGTCGTTGTCGTCGTTCTTCTCCTCGCATGCGTATTTCCCTCTCTTTTAAACGTTAATTTCCGCGACTATATCTATATTACCCGTATATACTAAACCTTACACGGGATCAGTGCGTATTCACGTAGGAACATTGACAGATTTCTTCTCAGGACTGGGCAAAGAAACCGTCGATTATTGATCGGCAAAGGAATATAACGATCTTGCCGTATAGTATGCAGGGTGTTTCCATCTCGAATTCCGTGGTCGCATATTTTCGAAAATCAATATAAATATTGATATATACATTGAAAAAAATTGAAACATATTTTTTCGAAATCATAACGCTGTTTTTTTAAATTTTTGTTATTTTCAAAGTAAATTTAACTTTTTAATTGAACTTTTTTTTTCGTACTTTACGTTACTCTTTTTTAAGTTCCTGGATTACGAGATACCCTGTGTAAGAGACGAAGTGCCAACGATTTTCGAACAAATGCTTTTTGAACGCGAAGACGTTTATGCTGCTTCGTTGATATATTCACGATTATACGTACGTGTAGATTTTATCCGCAGCGACAATGGATATATTACATATGATATGCGGTCAGTCGTGCACACTTCATGCTTACATTTGTTTATTTTCCTTGACAAATATCGTTTTGAAACTCTGCTAATCAGAATTGTTTTTGTGGATAACGATCATCGCTGCCACAAAAAAAAATATCTTTTGCCTCTTATGGAAACGTAGTCCTTAGAGGCATAATTGCAGGCACAATTAGATTAAAGAGATATGCAGCATTTAGACAATATAAAAACTTAAAGAACCCTGTAGAAATTCATACTCAAATAGGTCCTAATTTTTTTTTAATGAAAAAATTCATCTTATCCTTAAAGTCTTTTTAAATGTCTTTTAAATTTTTCTGAAGTTAAGATTATGTTAATTGTCGTTATCAATGAGATTTAATATGAAATATTCTTCTTTAAAAATTATGCCGTCACTAATATAATAATAAGTATATTGATGCTGTCTTAACAAAATACAGCATTTCATAAGTTTGAAATGTTGTTTTAGAATTTTGTTACTAAAAATTTTAGACTTTTTCTGCTAAAGTAATTTTAAACACTTTAAAGTTAACTTTATACACTTTACACACAAAATTTCTATAGATATTGGAACTAAAGTTCAAGAGTTATTCTTTTAAACAGTAAAATATTGTCAAAATCTATAGATTATTATTATGCGTATTTTATATAATTAATCAGTTTCGTGGCATATCATCTTCATCTAATTGTTTTTGCAATTGTTATCGTACAACCCATGTGACGATCCGATAACATGATCGTCCTAGAGAATCTTGGGAACTTTCTGTTTTAGATCATCGTTATTATCACTATTGAGCGAAAAAAATAAAACGGACAATAGAACCAAATTTGCGAAATATAAGAATATTTCACAAATATGTGGATATAATATTGAATTGATTGAATTGTTCGTTTTCTTATTTTCATTAACTTATTCCTCCTCTTAATGTTCCGATCTATCTCGCGAGCGCACAAATAATTTACGCTTAAAAAGATTTCGCAAAAGACTTAGTCAAGAACTCTTCGCAGTAAAATCTTTCGTTAGGCATGTTCGATCCACTTGATCGCGCGATTCGGCCCTCTTTATTTTCATTCTTTACACAAAAAATCTGACGATTCTCGGGACTAACGATTGTGGATTTATATGAACGCGCGATTCAAGGATTTCACAGGAGAACCGATTTTCTTTCCTCTAGAAAATAAGTAATAATCGTATTCTTCGATTTTAATTCTCGATATGTATAATACGTTACATTGATATTTGAATAATAATGCGCGTAACTCAAGAACTAATTTACCTAACGCTTTCATTCCTTTGTTCCAAAAAAAAATTAACAAAAATAACGTTTAAAAATTCGAATAAATTATTACCGAGAACGAAATATATCTATGTCTATAAAACAATCGTTTTGCGAAATCGACTGCGACCAACGGAACTCTCTGCGTGCGAGGATAATCGGAAGAATCTAAACTTGGCAATATATCGTTTTTAAATGCGCAGATATATAAATCATATTTGCATATGTCGTCCAAATTATCACAATCGTATTCTTATGTCATAAATAAATCTTAGAAAAAAATTGCATTATATTAAAATAATACTTTTTTTATATCTGAATATCATTTTGTAAATTTATGAATTTTTTATATATAGCTTTTACATATATATAATTTTTTTTATAATGTTTTTCGCTATAATACAATTTCAAATTCGTTTCTTTGACTCTGCCAAGTTTAGAATTAATTTAACAAAGAAAATCCTATTCTATAATTCACACGATCGTCGTCGTGAATTATAATTTGATATTGATACTCGACTGGCTCCTCGAAAAGTATCGGTTACGCGGAGAGTGATACATGGAATATTTGCGCTATAGAATTCGTTTTACGTTGTTCTGTCTTTAATACATGCTTTATACGAAAAGTTCTTGCGGTCTATTATTTGACGTGCGTCCAGCGTCTTTCGCGAAATAATTAATAAATACTTTGCAACTTATACTTACTTTGTAAAACTCGAGATCGCAACCTCATGCAAGATCTACCG